GGGAAGGGAAGGGAAGGGAAGGGAAGGGAAGGGAAAGGGTATTCTCTTCTCCTTGACGCACTAACCCTGGTTCTTTCACTGGGTAAGATGATTTCAAAGGTTGAATATTAGACTTGGTATCAGAATTACACTGGTGCCACAGATAAGGGCCAGAGTGACATCTCTCACTCAGGAAACTACAGGAGGGGGTTGGAATGAGGCTTTAGAAGTTCACTGTACTGAGTGGCTGAAGGGTAGGCTCCACAGTTGTGATGGACAGTGACAGAGGCAGCATGGTTTGCCAATGGCTGCTGCTGTCCTCGATGTCACGGGACAGGACCAAGAAGAGCTCTCACAACACGAGAGGTTGGTGGTCCCGAGGAGGATGCACCCAACCCAAGGGAAGAGAGTTAACCAATCCTGGCCTTCTGGATACTTGTTTTGAAGGTACAATGGAAGCTGAGGTCCAGGTTCAACAGGTCAAACGGCAAGATCGAAAAAAGTACTCAGACATCCGAGTGTCTGTGGCTGCCTGGAACTAACCTAGATGATTCTTGCCTCCCTGATAAGGCAAAGGAAAACCAGCTCTGCTGACTAACACGCCTTTATGGCATTAGACATTGCTCCCAATAAATGAACAGTGAGCTTAACTCCATCAGACAAGCTAATGTCACCTGGATGCTTTATGACCCGGAATGGCCAGACCTTTGACTTCCAACAGGTTCTATATTCAAGTCAAGCTGTGAGCATTTCAACTCAAGCCAACTTCATCTGATGCTGACTGGATCAGGGCTGCTGTGTGTGGATGCATCCTTCTTCTCAATGTGACTGAGAAACACACAGTGATAGGGAAAACAGAGGCCATGGATAAGGTGAGGTTGCCTTTCATTCCTGGCTCAAGACTTTACTGTTTGCTAGCTTCTCTGAAATTTGAGTGCTGACTTTTGTCTCGTGGAATTAATATTGTTGGGGAAAATAGGCAAAGTGGTTCTGGCCGACCACTGCCCGACTTCCCAAAGATGAAAGGGAATAATCCTTACACATACTTGTTCCACACACATCTCATCTGATCGCCTCAACAACTCCCCAGCCTTCAACTTGGGAAGTTCAATAGCAGAATCCAGAGCCAAGAGAGTTTATGACCTGTATCTTTCATTTCACACAACAGGGAGGCAGAGATGCAAAGAGGAGGGACATATAACTTTATCTAAGCAGATGCTTCCTACAATAATTCAGAGGCTCCTTTTTGATAATGAACTCAGCCAAAGGTAGTATGGCATCACAAACCCAGTGCCAAGGGGAACATCACCAGGACATGCGCTAATGCACTTAGGATCAATTTAGTTGTTGCTAGACCCAGGGTCCTACAATGGCTTTATTAAAACTCCAGCTCACATCAGAAACTGGAGAGAAAGGCTCTCTGTGCACTGAATGGAAACCAGTCCCCATCCCAAGTGTGCAGAGGAATGAGAGCCAATCTCCCCAAGCTCCTCATTTGCTGAAGTGGCTGCTGGGCAGCCATACAGTGTGCAAACTCCAACACGATGGCTTCCCACCTGCCTCTCCACTTGCTCATTATCTGGGGGTTGCAAGATGCTATTTCCAAATTCAAGCAAAACTGCATTGTCCACAACTCCATGGCATTGGGCTATGGCATGGAAGGCACTAGCTAGCTCTCATCGGGGCCCTACATTTGCTCAGGAATCCTGGGGTGAGGTTCTCCGAAAAGATGGTTTTGTGCATCTCTGTTTGTCATTACTCAGAGCAGATGGGGTGCTAAAATTAAGAATGTAGTGCCCCAGATTTTAGGCACTTGCTGTTTCTGTGGAAATGATACTCAGTGCAAGTGTGGGGTGAAGCCAAAAGAGAATGAGACCTCACGGTGCAGTTGGGAAATGACGGAGGTCTGGGATTATGTGAATGCCTTCAACAATTAACTGCAACTCCTCTGAGCCTCGTGGAATTTCTGCATTGCAACTGCTGGTCTCCCAATACTTCTCCCTCCATACAAAACACTTAAGGAGTCGGTACTCTCTAAACACGTGTGCATCACTATCCAACAGAGCTTCTCCTTGAGATTTTAAAACATGTTTGTGCCAGCTCTAGTGTTTCCATGGGAACGCAGTACCGTACCTGTTGCTCTACAGGGTTAAGTTGACTCTGCTCTGAAAACTGGACGGATGGGTGGGTGGGTGTATTGATGCATGTATGCATTTTCCATTCGTGAGTGGACACATGGATGGATGGGTGGATGGATGAATGGATGGATGGATGGATGATGGATGGATGGTTG